GTTTTTGTCTTCACCACCTCTTAAGGTTATTGTTTACATAGGGAGAGATCTTTGTTTATTGCCATAACTCTTCCAAAATCTTATTTTTAGTGTTCTTGTTTCTCCTCATGTTATTCTCCGATATGTACCTCTCTTGAAGAAACAAAGCATGGCTTTGTGTTTGGCACACACACACACTCTCTTCTTTGCTCTTATTCTATGAGCCTATGTAATCTTAATCTTTCTTCTTTTACTTAATCCAAATTTTAGCTTTCTATTTGCTTACTTTTATAAAACAGCACCACTGAACCAGAACAAACAAAAGTTATTGTGGACCTTATTGGTATAAATACATAGGGACGACAAAACCAACAAGTTGCAATTTAAAAATAGAAACAATTTGACAGAAAAAGGGAAATGATCCACAATAAGTTTTTTTTTTCACTGAATCCAAAAATCTATAAAAATTCCATTTAAAAAACATGACATGAGGACAAGTTGTGTATAGTACGGCTAGATTCTTAAAGAGAAATAGAGATTTGGATGAGTGCGAGTGAATTTGAGACACGTGCAAAGATATGGATGATGACTTCAAATCAAATTTTATGATTTGCATAGTTTACATTATGTCATCTGACTTTCTTCCTTTTTAGATATTTACTATTTAGATATTTTTCAATTTTTTTTTTCTACTTCATATTTCTCGAACGTTTTTAAAATAATATTAGTCATAATTTAATTGAAGACTTGTAAAATCCCGTGAATAAATATGATTATTAAAAATGGTTTTACTATAAAAATACAGGAATAAATTAAATATAACACAAATTTTGTCAGCTTAAAATGATTAGTTAAAGTTTGGAGATTTGCACACAGCATTAAAATAGTAAACTAATGAAAAAGAGAAAAAAATATAAGGATTTGATATGAGCAACACATCGTGCATTTGGCTTCACAACCAACCATAATTTTTTTTATCAGATTTTTGAGATCGATTTCTATAAGATGTAGTATTATTAATTAACGTTCACAGATGTATTTTAATTATATCCTTAACCATAATTAATTAAGAGAAGAAAAAGAGAATCACGAAAATACATAACTCTATTGTTCTTAAAGAACGAGAGAAAAAACCACACATATAATTTTAGTTAAGGACAAAACAAACTATAAATTACATACTTAAGCTAAAACTCAAGTAGTTTCTTGAACAATCGACTTGAGAGCAATCGTCTGCAACTCAAGACACTTAATGTAATTGCCAATCTCACTCAACATTTCTTCCACATTCATCTCTTCCCCACCTGGTAAAAGCTTTTGCAATTCCTTCAATC